GAAAGAAACCACTACGTACTTTGTAGTAATGAATCGTCCTACTAGTTTCTATGCACAAAAAGCATATTGTCGTGGTGGCAGTTACTTAGAGATAATTTGTTAATTAATTGACAATAGTTTCACCGTTTTGTCGTAGAATAATTAAGATATAATCGAGATTTCAAATTTATTAATTGAAAATGTTGAATAATGTATTTTAAATATTGTAGAACAATAATTGAAATATTATAATAAAATAATGTTTTAGAATTATTATTCATTAAAAAGACTTTTACAGAGAGAGAAATCTAATACTGTGACCAATATTGAAAAATAGTAATTAATTAATTTACTTTATATATTAAAAGTATTGTTCAATACTTTTAGTATTCCAAATAATTAATTACTACCTTTCAGTAATAAATTGATTAGTGTCTATTAAAATGGTTAGTATTTATTAAATTTCTATGAGTGAAAATCTTTTATATTAATAAAATTCTAATTCACAATTTGAAAAAGCCAAATATCATGCGTTTTAATTTTCTTCTTTCGAAAATTCTTGCTGAAGGCAAATAATTCCTTATAATTGAAATAAATAATATAATAAAATAATATTAAAATGTATATAAATTAAAAATTTGTTAAAAGATTTCTTGAGAATGAATACTTCCGTCAAAACAATGTGACTTTTGTATTTCAGTGAATCAGATCGAATAATAATTTACTATTCTTTTGATAAATAATGAAGTTAACAGTAGAATATAGTCGATTTCGCAGGGCTGACTACAAACTAAGTTTACTCGTCATTATCACTATACAGTTAAAACAACGACGATTTCGTTTACTCGCGCACGCTTCCGCTGTTTCCGTTTTGTCGGAAATGATGCCTTTTACATCTCGTTGCTCTCTCTCTCTCTCTCTCTCTCTCTCTCTCTCTCTCTCTCTCTCTCTCTCTCTTTCGTGGTACTACGATTGTATCAACTTGACATAAGCTTTCGATAGTTAGAATAGATAATGAAAGACTATGTTGTTGCATATATATTTTTAGACGATCTCATGTTCGTTGTCGTGTAAAACTATTATTCAACGAATAGAACAACATGAGCGGTATGCAGATCATTCGATTTATTATACATGGCTAGTTGAGGATGTACGTGTAATGCGAACTTGTAATAAACCATCGCAAGATTCAGAAACGCAGTCGAGGGATATGACCTACTAAAGAATAGACGTTCCCAGGGAGTATCATACACATGGGGCGTTACGATTTAGACGTCGACGTCTAAAATGAGGCGCATGCTGTGCCGGAATTTTGCAGTTCCATCGCATCGTATCCGCCCCCGCGGACCACTCTCCCTTCATGCGGGATCGCATCTGCGGATGCAATAAGTTGCGTTACTTCCTCTCGTATTTCTCTCTGGCTACTGCCGCGCCCGGCGCCATAACATCATGCATTATCATGGTAAGAACCAGGTCCAGCTGCATCCCGTTCGAACCATTTTGACGCGTGCGAATTGAAGTCTCTCGTGTACATCGGGAATCGATTTGTTCCGGACATTCGATACAACGTTATAAAAGAATTTTTCTTATCATTCTCAATGAAAGATGTGGAATGTTATCTTCATACTGTGATAAATGACGCGGAATATTGGAAATGGATTTGCAAAATATAATTGAACACTCACAGAAAGGACAGTTTTGCTGAAGTATTTAAAAATTTGATTAGATATAGATCTCCAAATAATTTTGTTGGGCCCTCAAAATAATTACGTAAAACACTTAGCTAATTGCTTATAGAAAAACTTTCTGCAATATTTTTGGTCAAAGCTTGAGCGTCCTATATAATTATTTTGATGATCCAACAAAATTGTTTTCAAAATTTTCAGATATTTCAGCAAAATTTTTTCCGTATATTCTTTGACAACAGAATCCATAAAATTATGACTTGTTGGACATTGTCATATATTATATTAAAATCTGCATTATTATAATATTCTTTTCTTATTTTTGAAAATTGACAACTCAAAAAAAAAGTTTTTCAGGAAAAGAGGATTATCAATTTAACAGAAAATTATTGACTAGTCAAATAATGTAAACAAAAAGAATTCTTAGAAATACGATCAAATGTCATTTTTATTCACAGCCCTTAAAAATATATTTTTTTTTGTAACAATTTTGATATACTACAAAATTATGACAAATCCGGAATATCATCAAAAGTGACATATTCTTATAAAAGTGACATACTCGAAATATTATCAACAATTTACTTTGATTAGCTGAAATGAATTAAATTCGAACTAAAATAATTTTTTTTCGAATTTTGATTTTGATAAATGGTCTTAATTCTAATAATGTAATTTTTTTGTAAAAAACTTCTATTTGCTTAAAAAAAACAAGTGAAAATGTATTGCTCTTGTAGAAGGTATATTATGATTGAAAATCTTAAGAACGATAAGTATTATTATAGTTATTATTATAGTTTGGTGGATTGTGAAATTAAGTTAGCTTAATTTTGATTGATACAATAATCTTTATCTAACTTATTTATTATAGTAATAACTTGAAAATCACATTTCTTTATTTGTCACTTTTGAAGTAAAGAAGCGATATTAACATATTGCAATAATGATATGCAGAATTCTATGATAATGGTTGCATAAAAATTTATACGAAATTTATTACGAAGTTTAATTGAAAAATCCTGTTATCGTGAAAGATGTTACTATAGAGATATACATTTAGTATCTACCATGCTAACATCTTTAACGATAACATTATTTGACTAGTGCTCTGTCATTTTCATTGGCCAATTGACCCCGGTATTATTCTAAGATTTGTATCACTGTCTTATGTAACTACCAGAATCTTCGCACCGTAAATTAACTACCAACGCCTTGTTGCTAAAAGTTTGTTTTCGTTGCGGTTTTCATACACGGTGTATTCACGAAAATGTACATTAAGGTGTGCTAAAGTTTCGTTCTAAATTTGTACGAAATGATAAATTCGTGTTAACATAAGCAAGAGAATGTAATATATAATGTGCAAGTTACAGCATGCCATTCAATATTTCCGTTTTCATTTATGCTCAATGAACTATGAGATATAAAAAAATAATAAAATAAATGGAACTGATGTCTTCACGATTTATAATTAGATTTCGGTATTGTTTTTGTGAAATTTTTACTTTACGGTTTGTTGGATTTGATTATGAATCTCATAGAAGTATAATATATGATTAATTCATAATGCATCAATAAGAATACAATTTTAACCAGCTTTTTAATATTTTAACATCAAATCGAAATGTTCAAAAAAAATCTTTAATTTTTTAAAAAAATTATAATATGTGTGCGTGAATTGTATAAAATATATACCTTAAACAATTTTTATATCTCTGTACTTTTATTAATAAAAAGATATCTTATCAAATTTTCTTTGGATAAATATGGCACAATTAATAATGTGAAATAAAGCAGAAAGAATTTAAATATTAAGTTTAAAAATTCTGACAATAAAATTCTCTAACATTCACATATATTTATTGCACTATTAATTTACGCAGATTTGTATTTGTTTTTCTCTTTTCTCATTAACTGTTATCAGAAATCAGTTGATATATCAATTATTTTTGAGTAGTGATAAAGTGAAAGATAATATAACTGTCGATATTTGCAATTTTTTCTTATTCCCGTTTATCTTCTTTCTTTCTTTTTTCCCTTCTTGTTCTAGCTATTAACCGTTATCGAGACGATTCTTATCACATGAGAGAGGAACTCGTTAGCGCACGAAGACCATAAATCGTGGATGGGAAACAACGGAGTTCCGTTCGGCTTCCACGAATAGAGGAGTTCCTAACATAAGTCCTTTATCGAAAGCATCTCGATAGTTATCAAAGGTCATTTGATATCATTCACATTCTCTATTAATATTCTTAGCGTTATTACATATATAAGTAGTAATATAACTATCCGTAAATAGAAGATTGTTAGAGAATATTCTCGAATCATTCGAGCAAAACTACGTTTATTCTTATAGATAACTAAATGTGTTAAAAAAAAAAGGGAAATATATATATCACAAAAAACTTTTTATAGATAATTATATATATCAATAAATAACTTTCTATAGGTAATTATGTATATTAATTAGAAAGATTATTATTGACACTGTTAAATATTAAATTTAAACCAATTTTTTAAGTTAAATGACATTTTATTATTTTTAAATTCCAAGTGTGTTAAATTCCAAGTGTATTATGTATAATACAAAACATATGATTAAAAATCATATCTAATCAATCTACTTCTATGGTTGAATTGTATAAAATATATATCTTAAAAAATTCTTTATATCTCTGTACTGTTATTGTTATATTTTTATTAATAAAAAGATATTCAATATATCTTACCAAATTTTTTTGGATAAATATGGCACAATTAATAATGTGAAACAAAACAGAGAGAATTTAAATATTAAGTTTAAAAATTATTTACAATTAATTTCATCGTTTTATTAACGTATGCATTCAGTAAATAATAAATTTTTAAGTCAAATTTAATTTTTAATAACATTTTTTAAATTTTGTTTAATTCCATTCTTTTAGTTAAATTAATGATATATTAAATGACGATCTTTAGGAATGATAAAAATAATTCAAATTAGGTATAATAACATAATGTTGAATAGTAATGTATTGTTGTTGGAAATTCTTATCGTAATTGTAATAATTTTAAAAAACATTTAAAGAATATTTTACATGTATTTGTAAATTTTAAAAAACGATTCATCTATCTTATTATTGGCTCGAGCAATGCGAAAAAGAACGATCATTAATCATGATTATCATTAATCATGATAATTTGTTTAATGTGTCAATTGATTATCGACTCAAGTCGACTAAATATGGGATTTCCTAAGAGCGTTTCTGAAAACGAGGGATTTAAGCACGATGTGCTCGCTTTTTCGCGATACAATTGCATTTTTCCAGCGAGTGGATGTTGAAGAGGAGCATCGCTTACCGATTGGCTGTATCAGGTAGCGCAACGATGCCAGCAATGGCAGGATCAATAGAAACGGGGCCATGACGGCTTCGATTCAGACGTCCATTTCGCGTTCATTCACGAGGCCTGTAACAGAAAAAAGTGCACGCAACTATTAATAGCTTACGCAATTTTCTCAGCAATGAATACATCGCAATAGACTTTTCACACACATACACACACGCGCGCGCGCACACACACACATCGTGGAAACTGGTGTTCATTATTTCGATCAAGTCCCGGATGGACGAATCAATTCATTCCCTCCCATTTCGCATCGAGTAAGTCTTTATCTTTTTTCCTGTCAAAAATATTTATTGCGTTTTCGTTATGTTATTTTGTAGACACAAAAAGCTCCTTACTTTGTTATAAATACACGAGTTCATCTTACAAAAGATAAAGAACTGTCATGTATTTACAAGGTTCAAACTGATAGAAATATACCTTATCAGATTTTCCATTATCCTATTTTGCTACGATTGAAACATATAAAAATATTTAATAATAATATTAAAATAAAATGTATTATATATATTAGATTATATTAGAAACTTAAATAAAGTATACTATATACATAAAATATTTAATTATTTTTATTAGCTTTATTATTATATATTTCAGTAAAATTATTATTATATATGTTAGATTTTTGAATTATAAATTCATATTTCTTCTAGATTTTATGATGTAAATTATCGATATGATAACATTTAATCCTATTAAAAATCTACAATTAAGTTTCATATTAAATATTTATATATAATAGTTCAACATTTATGGAAGTTTTATGCACTTACAATATATTTATGAATTTGATATCCATCAAATTTTTACAATTTAAAATTAATTAAACAGTTCACAATTGAGCATGCAAACATTATGCACATGTTGATATTATCAGTTTTTTTCTCGTGATTGTGTTTCTCTTGCAATCCATAGTTGCTCTGACCTATTGCTTTTTATTCCGGCAGCAATATTTGCCGAGAAGGCATTTGCGCGCGATAAACTTTCCAACTATGCAAACTCTCGTAAAACCAGCGGTTTTTAATGGTAACTCGTTGGCAATAGCCAACGAGATGGAGAACAAGATGAGAGCTTACTCGCAATGTACTTGACTGCGCCGCATTTGAAGCGGCAGGGCTTTCTAATGTGGATCATGTTCACTCATTATTAGCTCAAAGGAGAAGAGAGCCATTATGGAAGAGAGAACAAAAGCCAAATGATGAGAATAATGGAGGCAAAGAACTTTCTAACAAGCTACGTCGTATTCGTGCCTTTGTCGGATCTATGGTTGATACACATCACTGCGGCATCAACGGGAATTACAGCGAGGATGGAATCAAATTGTTATATACTAATAATTTTGATTCAATTCATTCGCCACATTTATTCGATTGGTGGACTAGTCACGTTGATCCAAATAGAAGCACTTAGTTTCCAAATTTTACATCGATATATGTATAACAGAGCGATAGCGGAAATCTAATACGTATCCAAAGCCGTTAACACTATCAAATGAATAAAAGTAATAAAGTAATAATAATGAAAATCTATGAGAGTCAGCATTATTTATGTATGTTGATTTGCATAGTGAACAATTAAATGTATAAAATCATTGACAAATAAAAAACTTTTAGGACAACTTTCCTTGATTAAATATTAAATACAGAGAATGTCCACTATTTATTAGCTTAATACAAATTGTAAATTTTCGAAATTAATAGAATAAGTAGAATGTAAAAATGTTTATTAATATTTTTAGTTTTTCAATATTTTTTCTTTACAATAAAAAATGAATAATAAAAAATGTATCAACTTTTTATTTATTATATTATGTCATAAGAATTTCTCTTAAGTTTATCGTACAAAATATTATCGAAAATATCCATTGTTATTGATACAAAAATGAATTGACACAAAATATTGAATTTATAAAAAAATCTATTTTTTAAATATATAAATATTTTGGTCGATCTAATGTTTCTGAATATATCTTGTAGTATCGTGCGGAGCAACTAGTAACTACGACTGTTGGTCGTAGAACGTCACTCCACTAACAGATATACGACAAATGCGTTTCCGTGTCCCGAACATTGATCGACATCGACGACGTATCGACAATGTTAATCTGTCTTGTTGAAGAGTTGCTCCCACACCGCCATCCATTTCCATGTTACTTGCATCAGCTATGGCAGTATGGGAAGTAACTTCCGTGTACATTGATGAAAAGGATGTTCATGTTACTAGTCAATTTTTTTAGCGAAGTTTGTATCCGTGGATAGTAAATGAGTTAACTCAATCTTATACATCTATGAATTAATATGATATATAGAATTGTTATTAGATGAACGATCGAGAATGAGATCTGATATTATTAAAAATAACTCAAATTGTGCAGAATATAATTTAACGTTATAAATTTAATAGTGTATAGAGCTAAATTTTTAGCTGTTTTATAGGATCATTTTTTCCATAAAATCGAGTTACCGTCGACCTACCTCGAATTACGTAAGCCGCAAACGAGAACCGTATCGATTGGATTGATTCGAGCGTCAAGCAGCTTTACGCGGACGAGAGGCATTGCATTAACCAGATGGACGGGAACGCATTTCATGCAAGAGAAGGGAATGGGAAATGGAAAGCTGCGTCTGCCCCGGAAAAAGTGCAGTTACGTCGCGTTATATGTACTCGGTAAATCGGGCCACGAAGTGACGCGTGTTATAAATCCTTTCGCTTCATATTTCACGCGCGATGACGCGCATGCTCGGCATTATTTCCACGATATTTTCACTAATCTTGACTGCTCTTCATTGTCCGATCTTCGTCGGGTCGTTGCCCTTTAGTTTCCTTTCGGAAAACCGCTCTTTTTTGTTCCGAATGTGTCCACAGTGATAAACGGTTAACTTCGATTCGTCGACCGAATCATTCATCAAAGATTTAGGAATTATTAGCCTTGTACACTCTCTGCGGCACGAAGAAAAAAAAAAGATTGATGCCGTTTCCCGTCGTAGCGTTTTCTTGGAGTTAACTTTATCTTTTCGTTTTAATCCCTCGAGATTTTATATAATCAACAAATATTTATTTGCATCCCTTCTTAAGTTGCATTTTTCTTTCGCAACTCTTCTGCGAGAAGAAATTAATTGACATTATCGTGCAGTAATAAGCTGAACCTATTATTGATTAATAGTATTAATTTGCAGTTAGGATAATTATCTCTGACAATGAGTTAATTAATGTTTGATGCATATAATTACAAATTTTTAATGTAGTTAATTAGTGTTTCATGTTTTAATCTAGTGAAGTGAAATTAGTAAATAGCTGATAGTGACAGGACACCTAATATCTACAGGATGGAATAATTGAACATTCAGTTGAAATGTTTATATAATGTACCGTATGTTTAGGAAATTATCGTCAAATAATCGAATGAATTAATTTTTTCAAAAATTGAGAGGTGCCAACTATACAATAAAACAAAAATTCTTTAATTGTCCATAAACAATGTCTAGTAAAATGATATCATATAAAGTGCAAGAAGAACCTTGTAGAAGAATCTTGAGGAAGTTCATGATACATAATATAATACCTAATACTTTCTTATTTTTGTCTAATTTATTATAATACTCAGTATTATAGTAAATTACTGAAAAATTGAACGAATCAATAAATTCTAATCATATCAATCAGAATTCCAGTTTAAATAATTAGATATTCAATTATGATAACTGAAATTTTGATTGATATTATTAGATTACTTCATTTATTTTTAAATTGTCAGTGTAAATAAAAATTAGGCATAATGATATGTTAATCAAAGCTTAAGACGAGTAGCTCCAGGACATTAGCAATCTGTGGAGCAATAATGTTGTACAATTCTGGCATGAGATTGAGCGGTATAATTTCTTCAGAAAGATAAAGCTATTTCCTTCCGGCGTAATTCTTTATGAAACTTCAGGAGCGGAAGTGAGAATGCGAATATTTGTGTGGCACTCGGAAAATTCGCGAGAAAATTTGCTAATATCGATCAGCAGATGCCGAGAAGATGTCGTGTTAATAATTCGCCAGCGGGCAATGATGAATGTAAATCGCGGTGACATCGCATGAATATTCGCTGACGCGATTTATAAACTGCCAGATAAGATATTGTCTTTTGTACCATATACAAGACGATATAGAAGTGACGTGCCGGGAATTGCATTTTGTTATTGTGAACACGAATGGATCGAGCAAAGAGATATTAAAGTATTAAAAATAAAAAATATTAAAGATGTTTCTTGTTGTATATTGTTTAATACGTTTAATATTAATTGACGATATTATTATTAACGAGTCTTATTTATTCAATTATGCATGATTGAAAAAAATGATAAAATTTAATAACACTATTAATGAAACAAATATATCACGTTTTTAATAAAGTTTTACAATATTTGTTTTTTTTTAAGATGTAAAAATTATTTAATAATTTTTGAAAATGCTTATGAAAATAATAAAAATAAACTGAAGAGTACAAACGATCCACGTATGTGGTAAAAAAAGTCATCATATACTTAATTATATATAATATATTAGATGTGACACCTAATATTTAGCCAATTAAATAAAACAATTCAATTACGAATCTGTTAAAAAGAATTATCTTTCTAGAAATTTGTATCTCCGTCAAGCGTTGCTCTTTTCTTCTAATTATCACGTGCATTGAAACAGGAAACGCTTCGAACAATTAAGCTTTTATTGAACGACTGTGTGCCAATTACTTCGTCGATACCGTGTCCGTGAGAAAGAAAGAATTCGTTTATATTTCACTAACTGACACACATATTTCGAACTAATTTATCGATAAGGCGTGTCTCTTGATTCTCTAACAATCGCAATACAGAGACTCGGGTGTTGTCTTCCACGAAAATCAGTGAGATTTACGTCCATTCGCCAGAACGTTTCTGTACGTAATCGTGTAATAAAACGCGGCGAAGTGTCGTCGCACGACAGGCATTGTTTCCACGACGAAAATTCCAGGCGTCTTATAAACGTCGAGGCATCGGGACCATACAAATTGTTCGCGACAAGGATATTTGACTCCCACCCCT